TTTGATATAATCAATAAACAAAACTTACTTTCAAAATTATTCTTTCATAAAATATAATATTAATAATAGAATTTCCAATCAAAAAAAGCAGTGCTATACATATCTTTGAAAATGGTGAGTCATGTAACAAACAGACATTATAAATATTAACATAAACATCAAAAAAGTGAAATGACAATATTTTATGTTCAAAGATAGTATCTTTGAACTTAATATTAAATTTGGACAGATGTGAAAGTTTACACTTTATATTTCTGTCATTTTCTGAAAATGATTGCCATCCTCAAAATCACATATTTGTTTAAAACTTAAGTTAATACCAAAAATGAAACAACCATATTTAAATATACACAATGATTAACTTTGTTATTATAAATAATTGAATAATTGGATTATTAACACATTAATTTATTATTTGTTATTTTAAATATTGCAATTTTATCAAAAAAGTAATTTCGACTTTTTCAATTTTCATTTCGATTAATATATTTATATTATTTTTAATGTAAATTTTAATAGATAAGAAAACACATTTAAAAATATTCTCAATAAGTTTATAACCATTATATGAACATGTATAATTCACAATTTGTTATTTCCTGTCTCAAATAATACATAAATAATAATGATAACTTTTGTTCATCGATAATTCTAATTATATTTTGAAGGTTTTTAATCTTTTGGCATTTTTGAAAAATTATTAACATTATATTAAATTGAACTTTAAATCAAAATAATATGTGTTAAAATTAAATTAAGTGGTATAAGTAAAATTTATTGGGGAATTGAACAATATTAATTTGTTTTTTGTATCTTAAGAAAAATATTTTTTTAAAAAAATTACGGATTGTTTTGATCCAGAGGATTATTTTCATCTTTAAAAAACCCTAAAAGAAGAAAAAATAAAAGTACCTAAATTATAATGTAGACACACCCTTTTTTCAAAAAACTTTTTATTATAAATGCGATATTTTTTTAAAAAAAAGCATTATAAATGTTATAATTAAAAATATTATGTGAATTGTTTTTGAGTCAGTTTGACATACAAATTTAAAAACATTAATTGGATATTCATGTTGATAAACTGTAATTGATAACCAAAAATACACTGCTTAGTACATATAATTAGTTCAAAAAATTAATTAATTTTAAAGAATTCAAATAAAGATAAAAATCTTTAATTCATTTCATAATTGTATATTGTAATATAATTAAGTTGATCATGTATATATTGTTGTAAATATAAATAGAATAACATTTTTGAAAAATATATATGAATTAAATTCCAAATAAAATAACAATTTTTAGGCATAAAAGATAGCAAGTAAAAATGTTAAAATTATGGATCACACAACCAAAAAAATTATTGTTTTTAATATTTTTTGTCATTATCAAAATTATATAATAATGTTTTTATAGTATATGATTATTTTTTTAGACGCTTATAGTTGTCGATAATTTAAAGTTTATTGTCATATTATAGTTTTTCATGGACAATGAAAATAGAATTTGCATTTAGAACAATTATTAAAATAAAAACATTTCATTTTTTATTATAAATTAAATTATAATAAACTATTATTTTAACAAATATACATTAAATAATTTATAACATAAAATGTTAATACATTCAAAACTGATATTAGATATAAAAACCATTAAAATTCTTGTTACACAAATGTAAATACATTTTAACAATTTAATAAAATATATAAATAATTATATTACACAAAATTATTTTTCAGAATAATTGAGTGAAATGTGTAATGCAATTTAAATCATTTTGAAATAAAAGTGTTAATTGTTAAACAAATAAAACATAGATACAATATTTAAAACTACACCCATTTATATTTTATTTTTATATTGTTTTCAAATATTATAAAGTTTGTATATTTTATATTAAATCTAAATAAAAAATTAAACATAATTTCATTTTTAAAATATTAAAGATCTTTAATGTGTGTAATATAATATATATAATTAAATTAATTATATTTTTTATTATAAATTCAAATGATACATTTTTAGTGAAACAAAACAACATAATAATTGATTTTATTGGGGTTGAAAACATTGTAAAGTGTAATAAAAATAATTATTTAATTCAAATTTATAATTTAGTAATAATAATAAATACAATAATAAAACTTTTTTGCAAAACATTTAAAATAACTTACTAATCAAATAAAAGCATATTATTCGTGGTTTGTTTTTAAAAATAGGTAGTTTATTTCAAAACAATAATAGTTATTCATTCTAATTGTTTTTATTCATAAAAAGTGTAATCAACAATAAAATGGTATATAAAGAATCAAAGTAATCTATTAATCACATGTTCATCTTTTATCTTCTCTCACTTACTATCGCTGCAGACATTTACGCCAAAGAGAATCATGACGGGTACTTTATGGTTTACATTGTTGACAAATGTTATGTTACCGATAAAACCGAAGCTGCTAAAAATACAAGAAAGTTTCC